ATTCTATTCTATTCTATTCTATTCTATTCTATTCTATTCTATTCTATTCTATTCTATGATTGTCCAATCTCTTCTTAAAACATCTAGTGATGGAGCATCCACTGCATCTGGAGGCATGGTGTTCCGCTCATTAATTGTTCTTACTGCCAGGAAATTTCTCTTTAGTTCTAAATTGGATCTCTCTTTCATAAGTTTCCATCCATTCTTGTTCTATCCTCAGGTGCTTTGGAGAATAGGTTGAGCCCTTCTTCTTTGTTCAAATACTACTATCTTGTCATGCCTAGCCCTTCCCTTTGTTAGACTAAACATTCCCAATTCCTGCAAGTGTTCATCATATGTTTTAGCTTCCAATTCCCCAATCATATTTGTTGTTCTTCTCTGCACTTTCTAGAACAGGGGTATCAAACTGGAGGCCTGTGGGCCGAATGTGTCACATGCAGGCCACACCCATCCCAGCTCTACGAATGTGAAAAATGTCACAAAATGTCATGTGATGACAACATGACGTGAGTTTGACATCCGTGTTCTAGAATCTCAATATTTTAATCCAGAACTGGATGCTGTATTACAAGTGTAGTCTTACAAAAGCAATATAAAGTGATACCATCACTTCATGTACTTTTTTTTAATTGCTAAAAAGTTTTTTATTTTATTTTGACAACCAACATTGACAAATACAAAGATAAAACATCAATAAAACCATCTTTCCATTGTATAATGTGTCGGTTGGTACATATCTTTTATGCACAACATCAACAGTCTTTCCCTTCAAAATGCATAATTAAAGTTCATATTATATAAATCAACTATACATATTATAACTTCTTATTAGACTTTGTTTATAAGTTCATATCATCCTTTTTGAGCAAATCTCAACTTTACAGAACCTAATTCATAATATCATTCATGTCATTGTAATCAATTATATCATTACATTGTCTTATCATTACTTAATATTATGATATTGATACCGAGTTCTATTGCTGTAATCTCCTGGGTCGTTGGCTGTGTTGTAACATCAAGACCCAGGATGTCACAACAATAGAACTCAGAAGGTCATCACACAGCCCATTACCCAGGTCATTATAACACAGGAGGCTGATAGACACACAGCCAATACCTCAGCCACACATGTTCTTACGAAAAAGCTAACCAATCTGCAAATATCAACTCCATCAACCAATCAAGAAATAACAACACAGCCAACCTCCCCACCAGTATTTATAGAGAGATGGCAGCTCTGATCACGCTTTGCTCACACAAGCATAAAGCCAAAAGCACCAGTCTGAAGATGGCGAGTGGGACCTCATCAAAATGTTGCCAAGATACTCTCAATCTTACATGGGAAAAGACCCGAACACACCAAGACCTGCATATATATATGGCACCAAAACCCTAGCCACTATAGAAAACCCCAGTCAAAGAATTATCAGAGACGCTATAGAGATTTAAAAAGACCTGAAAGCATGAATAGAAGAGATGATTCCATCAGACTGTCAATTATTTGGAAGCCTGCACTCACAAACAAAAAAATCTCCACACCATAAGCCAGGCAAACACCTGGCACAAACAGATCTCCCCTGATACCTCCAGCTCAAACACACCCCAACCAGGCACCCAGATGAAACCTAGCTTCCTAATAAATGATAGCCGTTCATTTACTTGGAGCCAAGCCGCACTAAAAGCCTCCAATACAGGAACACAATGTTGCCAGCCAATCAAGACAAAAAAAGCCACAAAACAGACAGAAGATATTAGAAACACCAATCAAGCAGAACACAGCAAACTCCAAGACCAATAAACACAGACCAAGACTCCCAACCAATCAGGATGAAGAAAAAAACATTCGGGCACAGCAGTAGGCTAGCCCCAAATTTAAAACTGAAATGGCTGTGAAAGTCTGACTCACAGACGAACACAATCCTGATGATGGCAGATGAGATTCTGCCGAAACGTTGCTACAACTTTAAAAGCACAACTATAATGACGTGGGAAAATACCCAAACAAAGCTGAATACCATACAT